CCCAAGTGGTACAGGAGGCCGGCAGGAGGGAAGGTGAGAGGTTCCTGGGGGACTTGCTGCTGATGTCAATCGCTGTGGCAACCTCCCTGGCAACAGGGCAACCGGGAGGGCTGGCGGGGAGCGGAGCGGGCTTGTTTGTGAAGAAGGGAGCCAGCAGTGAGAGGGAAGGGCGGAAGGGGCTGGGAAAGGTCCCTGGCCTGAGGGGCCCTCCTCATTTGAGATGTGAAGCCCACAAGGCAAGCCTGAGACCCAGACTCAACTCCCCCTCCCGCTCCCCTCTCCACACCCAAGTGGTTCAAGGCCTGCAGATTCTGCTGCCCAACACCCCGGGGGGCACTCCCCTCAATGCCCCCCCCAGATCCCTGGCTACGCAGATCACCTGCAGGCTCCTTAGAAGCTAGGAGCCCGGCCCTGGGTTTCTGACTCAGGGGAGGTGGCTGCTGCTGGGCCAGGAATGGTCCTCTGAGAGGCTGCGCTTCAGCCCGCAGGGGGTCGCAGCCCACCCAAGTCCTCCCACCCCCCACCACTGGCTCCACCTGCACCGATCCTCGGCTCCCCCAGGAGACTAGAGGCTGAGGAAGCAGTCGAGCTGACAGACATCTGAACCCCAGTTCCTGCGGCAGTCTCAGGGCTCGGCTGCTCTATGGGGCAAAAGGAAGAGCTGGGGTGTGGGCAGTGATGGGGATGGCGAGAGAAGCGGCTGCCGTGCCACACACAGAAAAGAGGGCAAGGGCACGGGCCAGGGTGAAACCAAAAACCATCTCAGGGGCCCAGTGGATCACAACCACAGTGGGGTGATAGCAGTGGAGGCTACTGAAGTCTGGGGATCACCTTCCAGACACGATCGCTGAAGACAAAGCGGGTGCATAAGCAAGTGTGGTAAAGAAAGCTGATAGTACCTGGCTATCTAAAGATATAGCATCTGGGGTCTTAAAGGCTTGAAGTTAAACAAGCGGCCATTTAGCTGAGAAGCAACAAAGCCCACATGGAAGAAGCACACCAGCCTGTGTGATCATGAGGTGTCGACAGGATCAGGTATCAGGCATCCAAGACCCAGAACAAAATCACAGCCAATGTGATTGGGGGGGTGGGGGGACACACGGAGTGGAGAGTCATGGGCCTGAACCACCCATCTTCTGGCTACTAGGTGAGCAGCTGACCTTGTGCGCCCCCAGGTGGCTGGGAACATCTTAAAGGGAGCTACAGGTAGCCTGGCCTTGCTGCTGGGGAGCTCTCCCAGGCTCCACCCCGGGATTGCCCCCCACCCCCTAGCTCCCTTCTCACACTCTGGGGTCCTGTCCACATCTCCTCTAGCCAGGGGCCTGACCTCTTGTGGGCCTGGGTCTAGTCCCCAATCCCAAACTCACCCTGCTGCCTTCTAGCAGATTCTGACAACACTGACCTTAAAGGACAGGGGAGCTGCACCCTTACCCAGAACCCTGGACGTGGAGCAGAGGCACAGCACACTGTGTGGGCGGAGCTGCCACCCAGGACCCTCTGGAAGGGGTCCAACAGCAGCAGAGACAGGAAACAGCGTGGGTGTGAACTGTTGAATGGGCTGTTGTTCTCTGAAACGCCCCCAGGGCACCATGAACATAGGGGGAAAGTGTTATACAGAAACCACAAAAGCAAAGAAGTCATTTTGAGGTCTGAGGTGCACGGGGCCCAGCCATGGTCCTCTCCATGTGTCTTCCGCTGGGCGTGGAAAAAGGAGAGTCGAGCAGAGAAGGGGCCAGTGAATTGGGAGGCCTGAACATGCCGATCTGTTTGGGAGAAACGACAGCCAAGGTGCTCCGCCGCAGCAGTGAGACTCGCAAGACTTGGTCTCCCGTCCTTTGGACGCGTTATCAAGTTGGACTGATCAGGCCTGGCCCCGCGTGGGCCCACCTTGAACCAGGCCAGACGCGGTGGAGTGTGCTCAGCCCCCTGCCACTTCCTGGTTTCTGGGACACAAGCCTGGGTGACTACGGTTCACTGCCAGGGAACATGCAGTTGAGTCAGTGGGACCATAACATGCCACCATAGGTGGGGTGGCCCAGAGAAGGCGACGGAGGACAGACACAGAGCCGCTAGCTATCAGAGGCTGGCCTCCCCACCGCTGCCTCACCCCATCACCATACTGGTTTAAACAAAAGTCGCGAAGGAATGTGACCTGCTCGAGGTCGCGCCACTGGCAAGGGGCCCAACTCGCATAAAGCCAGGTCTGCCCAGCTTCGAACCTGTGCCCGCCAGAGCCAGGCTGCCTCCAGGGGGGAGGTGGAGGGGGCAGCTGCCAGGGGCAAGTGTGTGTGCAGAGCCTGCATCTGAGGACGAGTCAGGCAGGGCCGGAGGGTGGGGCAGCAGTTCAGACTGGGTCCCCACCCCCCACCTTCAGTAGCGAAAACAGGGTGCAGCAGGGGAGGCCCTGCAGGGCAACAGGCGCATAGCATGAGGGGTGACAACAAACGGAGCCTGCCCAGCAGGGACAGGAGGGGAAGGCAGGGCCCAGTAATGAGCTCCCCTGGGGCAGGGCCTCCTTCCGGGCCCTGGGCGCTGTCACTACCCAGCACCAGGAGGTGGAGCACAATTAGCAAAGAAGCTCCTGACCCACCTTTCTTGGTACCTCACCCTCCATCCCAGGAGCCCCAGCCCCCTGACCAAGTGCTCTGACACCTGCAGGGGGAACCTCAGACCAGAGACAACCACGAGGCCGGCCCAGGGTCACACAGCATAGAGATGGCCCCTGTCTGGTGCTGGGCACTCCCTGCCACAAGCCAGAGGGGCCACAGCACGAGGGGGGGGGGGGGGCTGAGGCCCGGCCCAGGTATGGGCCACAGAAAGCCGGGGGCCTTCCCCACGCCCCACCAGGAGAGGCCTCACGGGGGTCCAGGCAGCAAAGCCAGGGGTGCAGCTGCTGGGCAGACAGTTTGGGGCGGGGCTTCATTGCAAGAACATTCCTGCACCTTCTGTGACAGGCTTCTGCTCGGTTCAGTGGGAAGATGTAAGCCGGGTTAGCTCTGCCCGTGGGGAACTCACCCCAAGAGGAGGGACCACAGGTAAACAGGCAATTATGGGACAGGGTGGGGGTGGGGGACAGGGGTCTGGGGACCGCCTAGGTCACAGAGAGGATGCCCCTGGGCCACCTCCAGCCCCAGACTGAGCCCAGGCCTTGCTAGGCGTGGAGGCCAGATGGCCCGAGGGCATTGCAACGGGCAGAGAGTGGACTGGAGGCTGGAGGGTGAGGTACATTGGAAAACAGCTGTAAGCCTGACCAGGTCCAGCCTCGGAGCCTTGTGTGAGGTTGTCCCACCCGGTCCCTGAGGATGTCTGGGCTCTGCGGCCGCTTGACTACCAGGTCTGGGTCTACAGCCTCTGTAGTGGACAGCGCCCCTCTCCCGCTCCCCAGAAGGCCATCGGGGTCAGTCGTGGAGTGAGGGCGGGAGACCAGCCCAGGCCACTCTCCCATTCTGAGAGGACGGGAGGGCACCTGCCCACAGTCCCAGGCTCAGTTGAGTGCACAGCTCCCTCTGGTGGCTGAAGGATGCCTTGGCATAGGCCTGCGTAGAATCGGCAGGGTCTCAGGATGAACTCGGTGCAAAGGAAACCAAAATCCTCACAACTGGACCAGGAGGCAACGTCCTGGCCAAAGGGAGCGAAGACTGCAGTGGTCAGGATTCCGCCTTGCCTGGAACCACAATCAGAGCGCATGGCAGCAGCAGTCAGTAGATCAAAGGACGCCTTTCACTAGGTAAACCTGCTCCCCCAGCAAGACCTCTTCAAGGGGCTGAAAAGCCAGGTTACTCTGAGGACTCAGGTGCACATGACCCAAGCCATGGTTTTCTCCATTGCTTCCTGTACCTGTGAAAGGCAGCCAATCCGCGAGACCGAAAAAGAATGGACGCACTTGAATTACAGTGTTGGCAAAGACTGCCCAAAGTGCCACGGACTGCCCAAGGAACACACAGAGCTGTCTCAGAAGTAGTACTCCCGGATGCGCCTTAGAGGCAAGAAGGCAGGACCTCATCTCATGTGCTCTGGACATGGTATCAGGAGAGACCAGTCCCTGGACAAGGACACCATGCCTGCTAAAGCAGAGGGGCAGAGAGAAGGAGGGGGAGTGTTGGGCTCTGTTATACACAGGGTCACTGTGAGCTGGAACAGACTAGACGGCACCTAGCCACAACC